CCTTATCATAGAATACCATGCTGTTTTGGCATGAGAAAATTGCTAGAATATTTGACTTAATTATCATCCGAAGAGGAATTTTGAAAGGAGATGTACCGATTTAAAATACAGATTTAAAAAATTACTTTGACTTCAAGTACATCCCCAAGGTGAACTAGAGATGCCAATAGGCGGGGTTCGTCGGCAGAATCTCCCAGGACCCCCGGGGTAGTACCATCCTCACACTCAGAAGTAGGCATAAAATGCAATTCGTCTTCTCCATCAGAGTCCATAGGGCCATCACTTCCATTTCCATACTGCCAAAGGCAAATACGGTTAACCTATCAAAAAAGTAAGTGAGAACAGTATTATATGATATTAAGGAAACGCAGACTGAAAAAATACGGCTATAAAATGCACACGAACACACAAATATATATAGATACATAGGGATTAAAGTGGAAAAGCGGAAATTAAAAGCATGAAATGATCTGAATTCGTCTGTCATCACTTGGCTCATCTCACGTATCTTGAGACAAAATGCGCAATAAAGAGAATATGAATATACGGAATATAAGTTGTTTAATTAATCAAATAACTTAACTAACCTAAAAGAGTGTTGATTAGAGGGAATTATTAAAAGTTAAAGATCCAATAAATAACATTAAAAAACCCTTGCAGATTCAACCTTAGAATAATGAATATTCTCGTAAGAATTCTGTTTATGAATTATCAGCAAGCAGACTACTGCCCAGGTACATCAGTTGCGATTGCCCTTTAATATGATTGAGAGTGAATTCGAACTCACATTAAAAGTTAGTTTTCTCAGACTAATTTTAAAGATAAATCCATCTCACGTCAATCTCATGCAGGCTGGATTATATTGCCAACTTGGGTTAGGTAGCAAAATTACCTCCAGCAGCATTTGATATATGAGCGTGCAGGTATAAAACAAACATGTTGCTTCCTAAGCATAACGAAAATATCCCCATTATTTAGTGAGGATTGCCAGGCAGTAAAGGCCATGTTGTCGTGAGCCTGTCGGGCCAGACCCGTTTAACTTGGGAGCCAAAGCGTTTGCCTCTTAACCCGCACCTCCGCACTTCTAA